GTTGGTAGCAGAGAGGTATGGTAAAGCCTCCCGGCGATCACTCAATCAATCAGCTTGTTTGGTGGTCCAGATATTAGAGGCGGCAGCTACGAGGAAATGTAACGGCCATGGGAGCAGGAAGTAGCACCACATTTTTTATACGGGGTGCCCATTGGTGGATCGGGTCGGGTCGGGGTGGCTTGCTAACCAGATTGAGGGCGCAAAGCGGCTATCGTGGCGCTAGCTGGTCGCGTCCGACTCGTCGCCTCAAAAGCAAACCCGTTTGTTTTCAGGCGACGAGTGGAGCGATCGCCCCCGACCCGACCCGGCCCGATTCCCTCCGCAATGGGCACCCGATATTATCAGTTCATTTTAAATCTCGAGTAGGTGTTTTACGCCCCCATCGGTACAGTTTAGGTAAACAGGAGGCAGGCTTCGTACTGACTGTCCAGTCAAAGCCAATCAGAACTCAGTGAGATCTATCGTCCAAGCAGAAAGGCGAATGGACAAGATAAAATGTCTCCCAAGATAGATAAATATGACGAAGTAAGGGGGGGAAGGGGTGAAGAAAGAAGGAATAAAAGAAAGACGCAAACAACGAAACAGAAAGAGAAAAAGAAAGAAAGACAGAAAGACAGAAGAAAAGAAAGAAAGAAAGAAAGACAGAAAGAAAGAAGAAAAAAATGGCAAGCTCGGCGACCATGACAAAATGGATATTATGAAACGTCCTTGACCTGACACCGCGTGTAAAAAAGAAAGCGCTTGGTCACTCCGCCCAGGCCAGACATGCGGACATGGTCAGTCAGACACACACGAGACTGACCAATCGCCTAATCTACCACAGACGTAGGAAATGTTTCCCAACCCTTGGACAAAGAGACGCCCCGTGGGTTCAAGAGGCGGGGCAACACCTAGTTGTTTTGCTTTGCTCTTGGGTGAGGTTCTTTGCGTTGATGGAAGATCTTCTTCTTCTTCTTCTTCTTCTTCTTCTTCTTCTTCTTCTTCTTCTTCTTCGAGTTTACGAGTAGGAATAATAACGTTTACATTTCACGACGAGAGGAAGTAAGCAATAGTAACACAGAATGGTAGAAAGAAAAGAAATAAAAAGAAGTAGCAGAACGAGGAGACAGCTCACCAACGTCCATGAACCACAGCCCGGTTAGAAAATTTTCATCTTTGCCCGTTGGTCAAGTCAAGTCTGTAACCCATGGTGCTACAGTCGAGAAAACACTGGCACTGGCGCATTTGCCATAGCAACCAAGGTGAGTTAGCATGGTGATATCAGGCCCTCGTCAAAATAACGAAAGCGAAGAAATTGGCATTTTCTCCACAGGTTGTAGAATTTTGATCGAATTTTTGTTTTTTGGCTCAACACCTTTCACGCACATTAACGAACACACTTTTGTGAGGAATTTAAAAGAAAATTAAAGGCATAATCGAGGTAAATTTTTAGTTTCCACCTACTCTCTAGCTAAAGAAATATCTCAAATTTGGAGGCCATTTTGTAGCTAATTAATTTACTTCCAACACCAGGCGCTCCTACCTCCTTCAATAGCCAATATCTTGACTTGTGCTTGTATCCAAGATAAATGGATTTTTTTTCCATCGAAAGCAGGGCAAACGGGCAGGTTTTAAGATGATACCAATAACTCCATATGCCTCAAAATTGACGAACGCCAGACTCCACCTCGTCGTGACATTATTATGCCGATGATAGAACTATCACTATCTGGGGAGTGATAATGAGGATTACGTCATGCCACAACTATATGTACTCACCTGCGTATTAAATCTGGAGGTGTGTTTCCGGTTCCGTCGCCGAGGGGCCGGAGCTTCCACCTTGGCAGGTTTTTCTGCCTTTTTCGGTTGAGAGAACAACTTGACTTTCTCTGATAACGTCAATCTGAAAGGGAGATTGAAAATGGTGGTTAGGTCTCAGTTGAATTTTGAGCGACAGTTTGGTTTTTTAGTTTTAGTAAGAGTTTTACGGCACTTGCAAAACAATAATGTCATTAAAAATGTTTGATAGGAAGGAAGGAGAAAACCACACCAGAACACCCACCAACCACCCACACAGTTTGGTTTGGCAGGGTATATATGTATGCATGTGACGGCGCTACTATGACTGGACTTCCAAATTCCAACGTCTGTCTTTAGGAATCGATGGAGAGGCTTGATAAATCCTTTACAGATTTAAGCCAAAGAACTCCTTGTTGGAGGTCATCCATACACACAAAAAGACAGCAGTTTTCAAAACTATATTTATCTTTCCAAACGTGGAAATCAAACTCTAGTCTTTCACGTACAAGGCGAAGAGGTACATAATGACACTGCAGATGCTAAATAAAGCGCTGCCAACGAAACACCTAAAACTAATATACATCTACTCTACTGCCTACGACAGATAGGGGCTAAAGCAAAAGAAATCAAACGAATTAAAATCAAAACACACAAAAATGGAAGCAACAAATCAGAAACAGTTCAGGCACAGGGATGAAGTAATGTGTGAGGTGCGTTTTGTCAATGCATTATTTCCCCAAGCCGTGGTTTGAAGGAGGGCTGAAAAGGTATCTGGGACAGCTCCTGAGTTGTTTAATCCAAACCCAGGACTTGCAAGGATATCTGTGTTTCGCCTGATGCTGCAGCTGCAGTCACTACTCTTACGCACTGCTGCTATTACTGGCACTATAAAAACAAAGTAATTAACAACAGTACTGTTAATATTGGTCCCGTTGAGTGGCCCAAGGTCATAAAGCAGGCGGCCTCCGTCTATTCTGTATGTCAGTTTTGTTTTAGTAAGGTTTTACGGCGCTCGCAACTGCATAAGGTCATAAGAGCGCGCGAGACATATTAAACATTTTCAGTTGGTAGGACATGTTGAATTTTTTCCTGGGTGGCGGCCGAAGCCTGCTCTTATCGATTTTAGACAACCAAGGGATCTCTAACGTGCGCAATTTGCACACGGGACCTCCGAGATTTTTCGCCCTTGTCCGAGAAGGCTAGGTGTAGACCTTTCCTACCATTAGATCAGGGATGTGGGTGAAAGACAGAAGTAAGAAGGAGCCAAGGAGTAGCAGTAGAAAGAGTCAGGAGCCCAGAGAAGGGGGCAAAGGAGGTGAGGGCAGAAAGTGAAGACGAAAGCAGACGACAGAACATTGCTAGAAAGCAGGAAAGGAGGTGAAAGGACACAATTTTTTAGAAGAACATTTTCCGTCGCTACCCGGATTCAAACCCGCGACTTTTGAATGAGAGGCGGACACCTCAATCCGAAAGCCCCAAGGCGGGCACCTTCTACTCTGTATGTATTTTCTCTGGCCACTTAGAGAAATCCACAATAACAACAACAGCAAGCAATAACAACAACCACAACAACAATAACAACAACAAAAAACAACGACAACAACAACAACAATGACAACCACAACAACAAATACAACAACAACAACCACCACCACCACAACAATAACAACAAAGTGAGCCTCAAGCAGGTCACCTAGTACAGACTCTAATTAACGAACACAACGAAAAGGAAAAGTAGGTCAGTTCACGTACTGGGCTTAAGTTTCGCCGCCCTCTCTTCAGGTCACTCTCTCACCTGCATGCTCCGAAAGCCCC